ATTGTGAACAACTTTATTTAATATAAAAAGATCGATTTACTTAATAAAAACTTAGCAAAAATAATATTTCATTGTACCGCCATTACTTTCGCCGGGGACTGTATATTCATGAAGAAAACCAAATCTAATTAATATTAATATATTAATGCCATTTTTTTTGTGATCAGCAACTACTAAAGAACATACCGCTACTCCTCTTCTGTTTTCAAAGGCATAGATACCAAATTTGCATAAAGGTAGTATACACGTTATTATTTAGAGCTATGGAAAGCTTTAATGGCTGTAAAAATACCAATTGTGTAAAAATTTACAAAAAATCTGTTTCTTTATTATTTTATTATTAATACCTTATTATTATATTCCGAAAAAATTTATATGAAATAAATTCTCTCCATACCACTGTTCTAAAATGCCTCCTGATTAAAAACCTCTAATAATTTTATAAATGTGACGATTTTCCAGAAGCCTCAGCGATTAAAAGTTTGTAATACTAATAAACACTAATAAAACAACGTACTGTTCCCAAACCACTATTCATTTTCTGTTTTCAAATATATGGATACCAAATTTGCATGAAAGACAACATATGCATTATATTTTAAAGCTATGGAAAGTTTTAAAAATACCAATGATGTAAAAACACATTTAAAATACAACAAACTTTTTCTTTATTATAATACTTCTATCTATTGCAACCTCCGAAAAATAAACATAGTCTCTCCACAATACTGTTCTACAAATGTTTCTTGATTAAAACCTCACGAATAGAACGGTTTTCCAAAAGCCTTAGCATTAACAATTGAGAATTCTAATAAAACTGTTTCATATAATTACACCGGTTCTGTTTTTAGAAAAAAGGGCAACCATAAAAAACTGCATATTAGTATTAATATTAATACGGGGATTTCTGTCTCCGGCAAAAATAACCTCCGAGTCTTTTGACCAAATTTGTGTTTTTTACATGATTATAACGGGTGAAAATATTAGACCCTATTTTCTTTAATAAAAAAATGCGGAATCGTGCCTCGGAACTATAAAAAAAATCGAATAAAAATTCTCCGATACACATCACACTGTATACATGTTGAAAACCATGATGGGTAAGTTTTATTAATATTTGTGTAGAAACAATAACAATGATAAATTAATAATATGATTAAATTTTCTGGTGCTGTGGATCAGATTCACCGAGTCATATAATCACCTAATTTCATCAATTTTCTTTGCTCGCTCCTTCAGAGGTTTACTTAAAGGTTATAACAATAATTCTTACATGTATATTATATCTATTTGACAATTTTATTTGGCTAGTGGAATCTTTGGTCGGAAAAATTCTTCAGGGACAATACAGAAACATGCATATGCTAATTGTATGCGATCACATCAACCCGGTCCACAATGGTATGACATATAACATTCATTGAGGGAACTTTGGGCAGCAACGGCATATATATCAAAGAATTTCAAATAGTAATGGCATGTCATATGACATTCGTTGAGGAATACTAGGGTGGCTTTAGGCTGATTTTTTTTATACATTTCTATATAGGAATTGAACCGATTCTTCAAAAGAAATTTGACAAAACTAGAGCTTTGGTAGATATAAAGATATGCAAGAAAAAAGATATTGATGTCTAAATTTTTGCTAATAATTTTTAGTTGCAAAGAATAAATTTACATAACCATCACAGAGTATTACTCTCATTGAGGTTATATTAGGAGAAGGAAATGGAAAATTCATCGGTAAGCTCATCATTATCGAACTCTTTTGCTTTGATTGGTGAAGAGCCGGTTCAAAAACTCTCTTACTTATTGCCAAAGCTCTGACCCGATGAAACTTTAATTTACTGGCCTCCACTCTTGTCTGTATATTGGCAGGCAATATAAGTATCAATAAGAAAGTTTAAGCAAACTCATTGAAAATAAAATGAATATATACCTTGAATGAGTAAACGATTCTAATTGCATATAATTCAAGCTCCGAACGGTTCGGTTCGGTTTCGGTTTTTAAACACACAAAAAAATATTACTCGTACAGTCAAACCTCGTTTCAACAAAGTGGCTGGACATATAAGGAAATTTCATTCAAATTTGTTGAAACGAGATTACCAGTCGCGTTTCAACGAATTTTTGTATGTGTAACAAAATTTTTAAAAATTCATTGAAACGTGAATTTAATTATAATTCGCTAGAACAAAGTTCGTTGAAACTGTACAAGCTTCTTATATAATTAAATTAATTAGTAGCACTCTAATTACAAATATTGCACTTTACTTACTATTTAGCAATTTAATCATGAATCCGCACTTCTTGTGTAATTGCGATTCAGTGATTTAACCCCGAAATAGCTCCTCAAGTACGAAATCGTTCAAAGTGCAAAATCTACGTTAATTTCTACTAGAGTTGCCTTTCTAAACTCTAACCTCTTTTCTAAACTAGTTTAGAAACCCTAAACTATTTTCGAAACTCCTACTGTTTTCGAAACTCCTAAACTGTATGACATATGACGTGTAACCATGATTATCGAAATCGCTCATTTTCTCTATTTTCTCTTCAAGTGACCAAAGTTTTTATCAGAGTTCATTTTATTTTGATTATCCTGACAATTAATTAATTATTAAATCATTGGTTCAGTTCAAAAATATTATAATTTTTTTATTTGTTCTAATATAATTTTTCCTCTTTCTTAGAAATATATAAATTTTTTTTAATCACAATAATGTCAAACAATACTGATGTTGATATAAATAGTTCATCAAATTCAAAAAAACTTGATGGACGACCAAAAAATGCAGTTTGGCAACATTTTGAGTGTTATCCTTCAAAACATCCAGGACATCTTGGAACCAAATGCAAAGCATGTAATTGTGAATGGAGTAATGGAATTGTTAATAAAATACAAGTCCATTTGGCACATGAATTCGAATACATTAAAGAAGAGATCAAAAAAAGATATATGTATATTGTTGCAGAAAGAGATGGTGTAAGTGAATCTTTAGAAAATACAGCATATAAAGCAAATACACAATCACTTGCTAATTTTTGGGATAAAGATGAGATATTATCAAAAGAACATGCAGGAATTATAGATCATTCAACTTTAAGGGCTTTTGTGATTTGTGGTATCCCCTTTAGGATAGTTGAAAACCTTTTTTTCATCAACATGTTAAAAATTTCAGGTCAAATTATAAACCTCCTTCATGAAATTGTCTTATTACTAAATTATTATCAGATGAAGCTGTTCGTGTGGATATAAAAATTAATAATATTTTAGAAAAGACTAACAACTTGACATTGGGTATGAATGGTTTTATTTTATTAAAATTATTTGTTTGGTTGTAATTTTTAGGAGTTTCGAAACAGTTTAGGAGTTCAAAAACAGTTTAGGAGTTTCGAACGGTTTAGGAGTTCGGGCTCATTTTCTAAACCAGTTTAGAATGGTTTTAATTTCGAATAGTTCTAAACTCATGAGTTTCGGAAGGCAACTCTAATTTCTACTAGATAAGTTATACAGTCAACCCCCTCTAAGTGCACACCCTCTCTAAATGCACCCTCTTGCTGATTTCCAAGCTCGGGAATTAGAGATAAGTGCATACCCCTTCCCCCTGCACCGCATGGTCTATTTTTTATTCCCTATATAAAACTCTCTAAATACTCTCCCGTGATTTTCACGTGATAATTGTCCAATAAAAATTATGCGATGTTATTAAATTTCCTTGTTGACAAAAAAAATAAAGAATTAAATTTTATAAAAAATAAAGTAACTATCTGATTCTCAAAAATATGAATTTTGTTTATTTTCTGGCAATAAAAAATTAACTAGAAAAGAATATGTTGATTGGATCGAACAAAAATGGGGAGTTAGAGTGGTTGAAACAACTATAACAAGAATTCTGCAAAAAAAGAAGAAATACTTAATACTGAAGTTACTAATCCAGATGCCAAAAGACATAAAAATCTAACTGTTCCTGAACTTGAGCTTGCCCTTAAGGAGTTTATTTTAATTTATCAAAACAGAGTGATGCTGTTTTACTTGAAAAAGCTAAGAAAATAACAAATGGTTTGGGTGTACCAGAAGAAACATTGACCTTCTCTTCTGGATAGCTCCATAAATTTAAAAAACGTAATAGAATTCAAGAACGAAAGCTTCAAGGAGAAGCATCATCAGCTGGTCTAAATGCAATTACTGAATCCTCACCATTGTTGAAAAATATGTGTAGTGTGAGATAGTAAATCTTGGACCTATTAATTACCCGGCTAATATTAACCAATTAGAACGAACTTACTACGGAAGTCATGTGATGCGCTAAATATATTATTATAA